CATGCCAAAACTGCCATCCTGAATGCATGTGGCATGCGGGACACCATATGCAAAGCTCGGCGACTCCGGAAGTCGAATCCATCCATGTGCTGCCGATAGTAATGCAATTCCGGGATGAAAAAGATGCCGCGCGTCTGACAACAGCCCGGACTCTTCTCTCATCTACCAAAAAATTCCATACATTTTAAAATAAAACTGCTCGCACAAGAGTGCAAAGACAGCTTACCAAAAAGTCGCCGAAACCTGTTGCATCGTCACCCGTCAGTACTTGACGAGTGCCGTGCCACAATGCCACACAAAGCTGTCTATTGGACCTAGGTCCTGTACCCCACTCTCATGACCATGAGCCCTCCACTCCTATCTCTGAGCATCCACAAATGTTATCTCTGACGTCCACCACGCCAACGAGATCGACTGCTGATTTAAGAGGCACGGTAACTAATCAGCCCACACATGAGGCTGTGGTGGAGAATGATAGCACAGCTTCTCACTCTAGACCTCCTGACCTAATGACACTTCGTGTCTCCCCACCAAAGTGCTTCCTTGGACCCAAGCACCTGCTGTCCAAGCCTCGCTCTGTAACCCCTCCTCTTGTACCACTCCCCGAGCTTCTGCTTTTCGCCCTTCTACAAACCTGACTAAACCCGTAATTCCTCATAATCACATCTGTAGCCCCTCTAGCCTTGCTACTCACTTCTCTGGCAGAGTTTCTAAATAACAACTACCGTTACGTAATCCCTATCAAGTTCCACCCCTCTGGAAACCTGCGCACTATATGCCTGGGATCCCTTTTCAGCAACTGCCTACTCCGCCACAGCCTCCGCCCCATCCGAAGCCACGTGTCCCCCCACCTCTACGACCTTTAGCTGTACCTCGACTTCTTACTCCACCCCCACTTCAACTACAGCCAACGCAGAGGATTCCTGCTCACTCCTAACGGAGCTCACCCCACCAACAGAGTTTGATTATACCACTAACTTCCTGAATGCACCATGTCCCCTCTCCTCACCTTGCATCTCTCACCATAAATCTCTTATTCCATCTCCTCCAATCAGCCCAGTTTGGTTGCCCGTTCCCTCCGCCCCCTACGATTCGATGCTGAAGGCTCCACAAAACAGATCCACC